CAGTTCAAGGTTCAATTGTTCTCACAGGCTTCGTTCAATTTACTTACTCAACTGTACTCTCTTCGTTCAACATATCTTTAATCCGTTCGTTTGCTGTCACAGCTGCAGCTCTATTGGGCGCGAACTCTCTTGCTTGAGGATTTAAACTCTCTGCTTGCTCTTCTTGTCCCTTCGTAATGTCACAGCTTAACTCCATAGGGCATAATTGTTAAATCCCTCGTTCAGTACACGATTTCCCGGCTCTCAATCTGGCGGCACGAATTACTCCATCTCTTCCCTTGATCAGCTTCACCACGATTCCAATATTCCATTTCCCACTATTTCTCTGGTCACTTCGAATTAGAACTACGTCACCGACTTTCAGCGATAAACTTTTGCTTTTGTGTTTCAGGTTATGTCTTTCTCTTAGACTTTTCACGTACTCGTTGGTCCAACGTGACCACAATAAGTCCTTACAACGACATAGGTCTCTGGCTCTCCTTCGCATATCGGTTTCTTTAATAGAATCTTCTTCAGGTAGGAGATTTGACTGACCATACATGATGAGGTTCGGTGTCAAAACTTGGACGTGAACATCGTCCTCTACATGCGATAAGGGACAGTTATTAACAGCAATCTCCACATAAAGTAAAACTTCCACCAATTCATCAAAATCCAGAATAGCTCGACCAATCGACTTATAAAGAGCTTGTTTAACAATTCCTACTAATCGTTCGAATTGTTCAACCCACCAGGGGGCATTAGCCAAATTAAATTTCCACTTGATTAGGCGATGGGCAAAGTAATCTTGTAACTTCTCGTCCTTCATCAACGCATTCAACCACTTTGCGGCGACTACAAAACTTTTTCCATTATCTGAGAAAATGGTGGAAGGTCTTCCCCATCTTGCAATGAATCGCTTCAAACAGCGTATAAACCCATCTGTAGTCTGGTCTGTCAGTAGCTCGAGGTGGATCGCTCTTGACAAGCTGCAGGCAAAAAGCAAAATGTAAGACTTGCCTTCTCTCTCCTTGGAAACTTTATGGACTATCGGACCCGCGTAATCAACGCCAATCACTTCGAACGGCGAGGAGCTTTCGGCACGCTCAACAGGTAGGTTTGCGGAAGGGGGGGGGGGGGTGTTGTGGAAGGCTGTTGTGTGAAACTTCTTGCATCCAAAACAACGAGTATAGATACTTCGTGCAAGCTGTCGCAGGCGTGGTATCCAGTAATCGCGGCGAACGAGTGCCATGGTAAGGCCAACTCCTCCATGGAGAGTCAATTCATGAGCATCTGGCATAATCTTTTCCGACAGGACGACTTTAGGTGGTAAGTACACAGGGTAAGTCCCTTGGATGCGACCTCTACACTCGTAGATTCCATCATGATTTCTTTGTAGGTTAAGGGTAAGCTCATCATCGCGAAACTTCTCCGTCTTTCTGTATCTCTCTTGGACTCTTCGGATCCACCACTTCACTTGTTGCTCTGTTTCTTCGGTCGTCAGGGGGCCAAGAATTCGCAAATGTTATGGAATCTTGCAGTTGTGGAGAAATCTCGCTATCCAGGCGTTAATACGGATTGTCTTCCAGTAAGGATGTTTGATTAACAGTGCATCAAGGTTATCTTCCGTTTCTATCGCTGTCGCAAGGATTTCTTTGATCTTCTTGGCTTCAGCTTCCGAATCTTAACTAGGCTCAGTCATCACAGAGGCAGGCCACTGGTCAGGATCAGAAAGCCAAACAGGTCCGTTCAGTCATTCACAAGTTACACAGTTAAAGATTTACTTTACTTCACATCCTCTACTCCCTCGATCAGCTGGGTTATGGTCAGTGCCAACATATTGCCATACAATGAAATCCTTCTCGTTGATTTTCCTCACCCTGTTGAAAACGAATTGCTTGTATGTTCCTCCTCCTTTGATCCAGTAGAGGGCGACTAGACTATCTAACCATCCAAATACTGCTCTCACTGGATACCCCGAGAATGCAGTTCGTACATTGCCAACTAAATTCGCGGCCATATTCCCGGATACCAGTTCCAGCCTTGGTATTTTAAGATTCGTCTTGGCCAATCGTGATTTTGCCGCCACCAAGCCGACACTTACTCCTGGAGGTTGCTTGACTACCGCATATACTACAGCTGAAATACCGGACCCACTGGCATTGCCCAAGGTGTGTAACTCCACTTCTTCCAGGGGTTCTCTGTATCTTGGGATACTTCTTGCCAAATGAAATTTCTCAGGAAGGCACCGCACGAAATTCAGCCACCGTTGTCCAAGGTTGTCAGACAGTTTTTCGTCCCACGGAAGATGTTGGTCGCAAACCTCACGAAATATGAACTTCCCAAGCAGGGTAACAGGCGATACAATCCCAAGAGGATCATAAACTGATGCGAGAAATCGTAAGTCTCCCTCTTTGTGATCTGTTCAGACTGATTTGGAAAGGCAACACCAAGTGTGTCATTGTGTTTGTTCCATGATAGTCCTAACAATTTTGTCTCACCAGAGACACTTCTCTATCTCCTCGACCTCTTTCGGATATCTCTCTTGCAGGCCGTTCAAATGTTGCTTCTGTGTTGCAGCCAAAAGGAAAAGGGATTGGACTAAACCAAACAACGCTCGTGTAAATCTCAAAACTTCAATGTCACTGGGGTCCTTGTTCTTGATCCAGTGGACGCGTGAGGAATCTCTGTCCTCAACACGAATAAGCACATAAGGCCTTTTTAAGATCTGCAGGTAAAGCAATTGGCTTCAGGCGGTTCCGGACAAGAACATCCCATAGGAGGTTTTGGGGAGGTGGGCCTGTCTCTAGGCAATCATTCAAGGAGGGACTTTTTCCACTTTCTCTCGCAGACGCATAAAAAACAATCCTCATTTTGGTAGTTTCGGCAGTTTCCTTGATTACAGGCTTATGGGGAATATAATATTCTCTACCTTGTGGCTCATCGACAGCTCTCTCCACAATACCTTCTGTTAACTGTTAACTGTTAACTGTTCCTGAATGATGGCATCATACTTGTCCAACTGGACTGGATCTCTTTCTAGTTTCTTTATAAGACTCTCCAACCGCTTTAGACTTCCACGTTCATTTGTTGGCAAGGGATCATGTCCATGTCTCCATGGCAAACTTGTCTCGTACCGACCGTCCTTATTCCGGGTTAGCTGTTCCGCAAACTCCTCATAAATGACTTGTTGATCTCCTTCTTGTCGGTCTTCCAAACCCAATACATCCAAACTACATAACACTTGGTAATATGGATGACATTCTGGTCGCATAAACATTTGACAGATTTAGACTCACTGCAAGCAGACATCACCGTACATCCTAATGTTGTCAGCTCGGCTATCGGTTCCAGTGGTTGACCAATTTTCGGTTTCGTTTCCATTTTGACTCTCGAATAATCGGCAGCTCCTAGTATAACATGAACTGGCAATTCACTCTTCTCGTCGTTGTCGTCCATTACCACTCCCTCCAGATGTCTGTATCTTTTCAAAAGCTCTTCATATCTAGGGTTTGGGACTGTAAGTAGCACACTTTTATCCACTTCATTGAGCATCGTTGACATTTCAAATTTCTTACTGACACTCGAGATGTTCACCTTGTAGCTGTTGACCTTTTGGGTGGTTGAACAAACCATCATCTCGATTTGCTTATGCTCAGTATGAGCTGGTTTCTTGTTTAGGTTTTTCATTAAGGATGATGAGGCATACGAAATCCCGGAGCCCGAGTCTAGGAGCGCTCTACATTTGATCCCATCAACTGACACCACTACCACTGGATATATTACAGTAGATTCACCTGTTGCCACCAGAATTTGTTCTTTGCCAAGTTTCTTATGACATATGGAGGTATGATGTTGATCACTACATTTTTGACAGGTGTGCTGGCTCTTACAATCCTTTGCTTGGTGTCTTGCGCCAGTGCAATTGAAGCAAAGTCGCTTTTCGTTAAGGATATTTCTACGCTGTTTAACATCAGTGACCTTTCTACACTCTGTTGCTTTGTGATCTCGCCATCACAATACGCACACCGTCGAACTTGGTGAAGAGTTGCTTGGTAAGAGTGACCATGACCACGGCTATGACTACCTCCCTTGCGATCCTCGGTTGAATTGGATTGCAGTCACACCACTTTCTGAGAGATTCAACTAGCTGTACAAACCCCCACTGTTGCCAATCATCGTCAAGGCGGACCAGATCCGGTCTAATGCATGGTAACTTACCCAGAGTTCCACGTACAAACCCCCCAATCTCTTTGAGTTTGCCTAATGTTTCCAATGTTTGAACATGACTTGTAAGTGTCTCATAAAATTTGTGAACTTTGGGTGGCTCTGTTCCATGAAGTTTAGGTAATCCTAAGATAAACTGTATGTGTGCATTTATGAAAAACTAGTTTCATATTAATCTGAGCTATCGAGTAGCTCAATAGGTAGAGCGGCGGTCTAGATACCCGAAGATGCGAGTTCAAATCCCGCTCGAGCCAACGAATTTTTCGTTGCTCGATTGCAGTGTCAGATTAATATGAAACTAGTTTTTCGTATCTCTGAGGATGGTTCTGAAATAGAATTGAAACAGTGTGCATTTATGACTTCACTGATTTGCCCATACTTGGTTTTCAAAATCGTTTTCGCTCTCTCATAACCTTTAGACGAGAAAGGAAGCCCTTCTATCATTACGCGAACATTGGACATGAGTAATTCTCTTAAATAGGACAGCTTGGCTATCTGTGTTATGTTGGACTTGTTAATTTCAGTTTCAAATTGATTCCAAAATCTTACCCAATCTAGATGATTGCCTTGAAATTTGCTAATCACAAGCTTAGGTAACATAGCTCCCATCTCGCCAACACTTGAGGCCTTGGAACTTGCTTCAAATTTAGATCTAACTTCCAGTTTTGCCTTTTCTAATTCAATTTCGTCCTCTAAAACTCGTCTGCGCTTTTCTTCATCAAGTTTCTATCCCTCCTTTCGCTTTATCTCACTGACTACATCCCTTACATCCTTAATAATGTTTTCAAATTTACCCAGTTCAGTTCTATTGTCTCTGTCCAAAGCCTAACTTCGCCAATTCTGTCGCCACTCTCAATTTTGATCCCTTGAACACTCACGTGTCTCTCAATAGCTTTTAGATCAGCTGAATCCACAATTTTTGTTGTTTGTTCATTGTTAAACTTCAACAAACGAAGCTTACCTTCGATCTTTTTCTCTACAACGTCGGCCATTTTGCTCGCTTGTTGTCACTCCCAAAATATTAAAATTATCGCTTAATTTGACTCACAATTTATTGTTTCTCCCAGCAACGCCGTCCTGACAGGATCGCCACTGGGTCGCGAATGTTTTTTGATATTTATTTAAAGCTTGAAACTATAAAAACATGCATAAACTCTCGCATAACCTCGTCTGTATTTGAGTTTATTTTCTCGTTCCCTCGTGGTTGTTTTTAACACCGGTATATTCCGAGTCCTGTCCGATTCGCTTCCGACGAATTTTTATATCACAATTCCGAGTCCTGTCCGATTGGTTTCAGATGAATTTTAAAATTATAAAAACCCCGACAGGCTGATTCGTTTCTCATATGAACACAAAATGACAATACGATCGACTTCGTCTCGGGAAATATTGAAACTCTTAATTGGGAAAACCAAACTAACTATTTACCTCGCGAGCAGAAATTTAGTGTATAATGTGATTTTCATTTTGAATGCTCACCTCCTGGGAAAAAGTCAGGGTGAAGTGGATTTGACCATGTGAATCGTTGTATAAGCCTGGAAAACAACAAGAAAAACTGGGCTAAGATTTACTGCAAAATACATATTGCGCATTGATTTTACAGCAGGAGGGTAAAAAATGCAGCATATTTATAAGAATTTTTCATAATAAACGAGCTATTGAATCTGTTCGTTTTACATACAGTAATGGTGGGTGAAACTTAGAGACAACATATGATTTAAGGACTTAAGGGTGGTAAAGGTTATGTAATTTATGATTACTATTCTTAACGAGTATATCAAATAACTCATTTGTCATTGATTGTCTTCGATTATATAATGACGGAAGATTTGTTTTCTGCAATGCCGCCCTATAAATAGATTGAAGTCTGCTACTGTAGGTCGAGAGCATGGGGTATTTAGGCCTAATAGTTCAAAGACAACGAGCTTTTCATGCGCCCAACCTAATCAAATTAAATACAACACAAGTTTGGCAACTGATTTAGACGTCGGACGTAATTGTTTCGTGCCAAATATACCAGTACACTATACTTGGGGCAACTACTTCTAGTGAATGACATTGGACATTATTACTGGCTTATGTCTTTGCTTGTTTATATATTCATTTGTTGTCATATGTTCACTCATTCATATATTCACTCAAGGAAATTTCCACTGGCAGAAAATTTTCCGGAAATTTTTTGTTAAAAGTTGAAAATTTTCAACATCAAATTTTATTGCGACACAAAATTTGTGTCGGCCAATCACATATTATAAAATTTTCTCTTTTTTGGAAAATATTCCTGAGGGAAAATGGGCCATAACAGACCTCTGCCAAAACATCGGTGAGTTCCTTTCCGCCATGATAAACTGTCCCAGATACTTTTCCAGCGGCCCAGTCAATTTAACCTACAACGACAAAAATTACGCCGGTTACACACGAGCTATTTTTCTATGACAACACTACAAAAAATCTCCACAAATTTACTCACTTTTTGGAACAAAGATATACTTTTCTCAATAAAATGAATATATTTGCTCATAAATTTGAATAATATTATTCAATATTTTGAGTCACTGTGCATCGTGCATTATTTTGCTCCCGGTGTTGAGTCAATTTTTTTTTGCACTGGAGTTTTCATTTGTCAAGGTTGTTTGCTCGTATCTGTACCTATTTGGCAATTCTGCCATGTTTTCTATCACAATTATTAAGTACACCTGTTCATAAGTTAGTATGCTAGCTTTCGAACAAGACAAGTGCACATGTCATAGAAAGAATTGGCAAACTTTAAATATTTTGCTCGCTTATATATGGGTCAGCAAAGAAGATTGAGCACTTGCGTGCGGTTGGCCAGCAATCTATTGTTGTCGGTAACACATACAGTTAGCAAATAAAACATGGCGCACGAAAAATTCTTATAGAAAACTTGCTTGTCTGTAACTGCCTTCAGTAAACTGAGGTTTATACAATCACACTAAGATTCCGTATCTGAAAACACAATTTAGTGGTTATAAACATTCAGATTAGAGAGGTGACTCTATTAGACAGGTGCCTGTATTAGAGAAGTGTCTGGATTAAAGAGGTGCCTCTATTAGAGAGGTGCCTGTGTTAGAGAGGTGTCTGAATTAGAGACTAGAGAGGTGTTTGTATCAGAGGGGTGTCTGTATTAGAAAGATGTATGTATTAGAAATGTGATCTGTATAAGAGAGATGTCTGCATTAGAGATGTCTGTATTAGAGAGGCGTATGTATTAGGAAGGCGTATATATCAGAGAGACGTATGTATTAGAGTGGCGTATGTATTAAAGAGGCGTATGTATTAAAGAGACGTATGTATTAAAGAGACGTATGTATTAAAGAGGCGTATGTATTTCAGAGGCGTATGTATTACAGAGGCGTATGTATTAAAGAGATGTCTACATTAAAGAGGCGTATGTATTAAAGATGCGTATGTATTACAGAGGCGTATGTATTACAGAGGCGTATGTATTAAAGAGATGTCTGTATTGAAGAGGCGTATGTATTACAGAGGCGTATGTATTAAAGAGATGTCTGTATTAAAGAGACGTATGTATTAAGAGAGGCGTATGTATTAAGAGAGGCGTATGTATTAAGAGAGGCGTATGTATTAAGAGAGGCGTATGTACTAGAGAGGCGTATGTATTAAAGAGATGACTGTACTAAAGAGACGTACGTATTACAGAGACGTATGTATTGAAGAGATGTCTGTATTAAAGAGGCGTATGTATTAGAGAGGCGTATGTATTAAAGAGGCGTACGTATTAAAAAGGCGTATGTATTACAGAGGCGTATGTATTAAAGAGATGTCTGTATTAAAGAGGCGTATGTATTAAAGAGGCGTGTGTATTAGAGAGGCGTATGTATTAGAGAGGCGTATGTATTAAAGAGATGTCTGTATTAAAGAGACGTCTGTATTAGGGAGGCGTATGTATTAGAGAGGCGCATGTACGTATTAGAGAAGCTTATGTATTAGAGAGGTGTCTGTATTACATATGTCTGTATTAGAGATGTCTGTATTAGAGAGGGGTCTGCACTAGCGATGTCTGTATTAGAGAGGCGTATGCATTAAATAGAGAGATGTCTGTATTAGAGAGGTGTATGTATTAAATAGAGAGATGTCTGTATTAGAGAGAGTATGTATTAGAGAAGCGTATGTATTAGAGAGGTGTCTGTATTGGAGATGTCTGTACTAAAGATGTCGATCTGTATTAGAGAAGCGTACACGCAGTTTGTATTAGAGAGGTGATGTCTGTATTAGAGAGGTGTCTGTATTAGAGAGGTGTCTGTATTAGAGAGGTGTCTGTATTAGAGAGGTGTCTGTATTAGAGAGGTGTCTGTATTAGAAAGGTGTCTGTATTAGAGAGGTGTCTGTATTAGAGACGTGTTTTCATTGGAGAAGCGTCTGTATTAGAGAGGTTCAACTGAATAATAGCTTACCTAGTTTTTCATACTTATCGAATCCCTTCATAAGTGCTTGTTGGCCCATCCCCTTATCTGGAAGCTGAATGAATGATAAATAATCTCTTAAACCTGCGTTCCATTACGTACATTACACGAGGAAGCAAATCTGTCGACCCTCTGGTACGAATCGAACCGGTGGCCCTGTGATTCCTGTGCAGCGCTCTAACCAACTGAGCTAGAGAGGCCAGTTGTCGAGCTTAACCACAAGCTCTTGTATACATACCAGAGTGCTGCCATGTGTAGGTTATTGGTAAATATCAAGATTTTTTGGCATCTCGCCCGATTGAACTAGTGTTAAAGGATTTTATAGATGGAAATTTTGAGTGTAATTTGTTTTAGACCTAACCACGAGTAGCTGGGAAAAATGCAACTATAGGCCTGCAGAAGTAGAAAATGCTTCTATCTTCTGGGGATCTGGGCTTAGGGCAGAAAATTGTCTGTAAAAGATTACGTTATTGATGGTTTGGCCAAGAGCGTGAGTGATGAGAAGAAGCATTTGTTGGATGTCATAAATGAAGAATTTCTAATGCTTTCTAAGCGGATTAAGATCTAATATTATAAAATCCATCCGCATCAGTTTAATCGTGTCAGATGTCAAAAAATCGCGAATTGTTTGGCCTACAAAGCTACATGACACCGAGAACAAACAATATATTGGCCCACTGTGATTTGTATATTTCTTTCTATAAGTTTTATGATAATCTACATTACCTTGGTATGATAGTGTTCATTGTTCTTGCTTATCCAGGCTTTATTCATATCGTCTCTTGTCTTTTGTAATTTTGCATTTATCTGATAAACAGTGGAACGTTTTTTACAAAATTGAACAACATAGCCACAATCTTACTTAGGGAGAGCTCATTATTTTATGGCGGGGGGTGGCACCGAAGACAACTGTTTTTCTTGGCAAAAATTTGGCTGATCCAACCATTAAAAAGTGAACATTTTTATTCACCCAACCTCAAGTATCAATTAAAAAATAAATACCCATGAACCCTGGCAAAAAAAACGTTACTCAAGTATACTATTGTCACACATGAGCTTGATAACTGCTTGTACAATTTTCTGCAGTCTAAAATTTCATGTTCAGTATATAATTAAATATTTATTCGGCAACATGTCAAAGTCTTTCAGTTTTGTTTATCTCATTACTCGAACTTCCATAATCACTGAAAGTCTCAACAGTATATTCAGTTCGTGCGAACGTATTATTGAAGCAATTTAAGACGTGCATGTACTGATTTTCTACAAGACCTGTATTATAAGCGTCACTAGCGAAATTCCCAAGTGTGACCGCTTAATAAAGGTTCAACTGTATCTTAAAATTATATGAAAACAAAGCTGGGTAACTAACCAAGATGTTGTTTTATTGTGTACTAGCTCTGTTATGCCTTAATGCGAGGGTACTTTACCAGTCAAGGGGGAGGGGGGAGGGGGATGGGAGGGGTAACCAATTAAGTTATGTTGTGCCCTAATGTACCCTACTTTATCATTTTGCTCTGTCTAATCCCAAACTATTTTGCTGTTCAAGA